GAGTTTATTAGCTTCTTTCTACGCATGGCAGTTGGAACAGGACCTTACAGGTAGGAGAAACAGAATTACTATTGGATGGAGGTGGGGCGCCAGGAGAGAGAAATAAACTCTCGGCTCTGGCACCACTTGCCTGAGAAATCTTTTTTGACCTCCCTGACTAGGTCGAGCCTCCCTACAGTCTGCTCTCTTACAGCTCTAGTCTTTTCCTTTGTGGCACTTAGTATGGTGTAAGTTACATTTATCAGGGTTTTTGGTTAATGGCTATTTCTCCCACAAGTTGTCATCTCTGTGAGGGCAGGGCCAAGGTCTTTCTGCTCACCCTGTATTTCTATTACCAGTCCCAGAACCTGGCATATTCTAGGTGTTTAATAAATACTTATTGGATGAATGAAATGAGTGAATAAATAAAGGAATAAGGTGCTAAAAGGGCCAAATAAATCGATCAGCTGCAGAGCTAGCTGGGGTAGGTCCTTCCCACCACAAGTCAGGGGCAGGCTCTACCTTTTCCTTCCCAGGCACATGGGGTGGCGGGAGGGAGGCTAAAAGTAGCACCAAGTTAGCTAATGCACCATCCACTAGGGGCTGGGCCACCCTGGCCTCTTTTCCAGAATCTTCTCTTGGAGGGGAGAAGGCCCATCAGGTAGTGGCAGCAGTAATCCACAGCTGCTGGGGTAGGAGGTGAGTTATTTGCACCGTCCTTGCTGTGGGCACCCATCCACACAGGAGCATTGTCTACGTGGATGTTATGTGCCCCAAGAGGCCAATCTTCTTGTGCCTCCTGAGACAAAATGCTAAAAAGCTCTTCAATTTGTACTGCACTTCACAGTCTACAAAGCTTTTTCCTAATTATTTCCTTTGATGCTTGCAACAGTCAACCTATAAAACAGGCACATGACATTAGCCCCATTTTGTAGATGAAGAAATGAAGGCTCGGAGTCTTGCTTAAGGTCATACATCTAGGGAACTTCAAGCCCAGGTAATCTCCAATTCTCCATACCATCCATGTGTAGAGGGACTATCTTTTAGCATAAAAAATATCAAAGCCTTCTTTTGAGCCTGAAGATAGCTCTCACCTTCTTGCCACTGAACATAATGCTGCAACATGGTAAACAAAGGGATTCAGGAAAACAATGTATTAATTTGGCTCTGATTCAGTTGTAATTCTTGATGGCACAGATTTATTCTAGTTAAATCACATTAGCGTTCATTCCAGTTTGTATTGATTTAGGGGGAGAAAGAAAGAGACTGAGAGAGATAGACAGTCAAACTTTGATTTCATTTGCAGTTAAGGTAAAAATTTATTTTGTCTTTGCGTTTGGAATTGACAAAGCAACTTCATTCTCCTCCCGTTTTTGATTCACGTCGGGTTAACTCAAGTTTCTCCGAGGCAGTGAAGGCTCAGCTTACGGACCCAGTTTCTCCCCTCCGATCCCAGCCCTAACTCGTCTTCCTCCCTGATGCAGGTCATGAAAAGTGGGTGACAATGGCTGGTGGGAGAAATCTCCTGTGACCTGACCGCTCCTCCCTGGAGTCAAAGTTCTGAATGTGTCTTCATAATTGGAATTTTATCTGCATGTTTTAAAACAAAACAAAGCACAAATCACACACCCCCACCCCCACCATTCTGGTCCAGGCTATATATGGTCCGCCCTGCGATTTAAGGATGTTATGGTGAGAACTGATGGAGAGCCCCCAGCTCAGGTGAATGAGGGTGCATTCTTTTCCCTCCCATAAGCCCTCCGTCCATGACCAAACCCCAGGAGCAGGTCTGGCCCACAGCACAGCAGCCAACACACCTCTGCCCCCTGCCACACGCCCAGTGCGGGGCGGAGTGCCTCACACACATTGTCTCCTGTCCTCACAACCCTCTGAGGTAACGACAAGCACCATCCCTGCACTATACATGAGCAATCAGCTCCCCGGAGTGCAGGAACTTTCCCGAGGCCACGCAGCTGGTAAGTAGGGGAGCTGGGTCTGCAATCTAGATGTAGCCACTTCCAGCTGGAAGGGAAAAGAAGAACGGAGACAGCCAATCCCCAGCGGAAGCCTGGAAGCCACCAGCACAGCCTTCGATTTGCATGGAAGAGAAGTGTCCTCTAACCTAAACTCCCTTCCAGGTCTTTTATGTTTACTTGAGTAAAACCCAGAAATTTCTATGTGTTTGGGCTATTATAAAATTTGGGGAGTTATTTGTTGCAGCAGGTAGCATTCGCCTGTACTCCAAATGGGCAGGCTTCTTCAAGAAGGCCAAGTACGCTGATTCTGAAGGATGAGTAGTTGCCAGCTAGGCAGACATACAGGGTGAAGGTCCTGTGCCTAGGAGCTCTTTGGAAGCCGGAGTTGGGAACCGAGGCCAGCCCGGTGAAAGCTAGTCTGAGATAAGGCTTCCTTGGTGGGCTCCTCCTGTCTGCTTGGCATTATACATCTCCCTCCTTCCAGGCCCTCAGCAAGAGGCAGAGCCAGCTTCTAGCATGGGGTGGGGAAGCCAGAGCTGGGTGTTGCAGGGTTCAAATAATTGCAGGTGGAGGAGAAGACAGACAAAACATGATGCCACCCTTTGAGTATGTCTCCTGGTCTTACATGCATACTGTCTCTGTCTTCTTTCTCCATGGTCGTAATTGCCCATCCATATATCGCATTAATATTGCTGAGAACTTTGGGAGAGTGTGTCAGGGAGCAAATGTCTACTGCTTTGCTCTCCCTCCTGGACAGGCATCTGCCTCCAGCCCTGCGTGAGGAATCTCTCTCCTGCCCCATGGCTCTGCTCTGATTTCCAGGCAAACATTCACGCAATGTGTATTACAAACTGCTCTGCCATGAGTGAACCTGATGGAAGGGTCCCAGTGCCCCCTTCCATGAGGGTTTTTGTAAAGACTGAGGTCTTCATCCATTTTGGCCAGAGGTGGGAGACACTTTTCTCTGGGTGTTTTGCTGTAGTTACTCCTTTCGTTCATGTCAAGCTCCGCCACACACTCACCCTATGGCTTTGTGGACAAAACCCCCAGGCTCCCTTCGGTCCCTGCCCACCATCCCACCCCTGAATAAACAACAGCTGATTTGTAAGAGGTTTTTAATTGCATCTTGGTCTGCCATTAAGGAGTGGAAGAAGGATCTCTGTTTGTTTTCACTCACATGGGGTCTGCCACATTCTCCAACTGGTCTTTACCACAGAAATCTGCGGAGCCCACAACATCTGCATAATTTTCACTCACCAGACTTGTTTGGGTTTCCTGGTGGTTTGCATAAATTATAAACAAGAGCACAAAAATCACATAACACAGACTCTACCATAAGAGGGTGTGCTCCCTCTGGTCCTGCAGAGAGCGATGGGGACATGTTGCTACGTTCAAGTCTCTGATGGCATCCCCAGGAGTGAGGCCAGCCTGTCACGGCCCCTCTCAGAGGCCTCCTAGCACAGAAGGATCCCATCCTAGCACCACAACTGGGGACCAGCGTGTGGAGCTGTCCCCATGTACAATGGCTTGCTGGGTCCTCTGTGCTGCGGGTCAGAAAAGTGAGCCGGAAGGAAGAGTCCTGGGTTTCCACCCAGACTTTCTGCCTCAGTGAGCTCCAAGAGGCTCTTTAGAAACAGACCCTCGAAAACAGGGGTCCTGACTTTTTCTGTAAAGAGCCAGACGATACAGATAGCAAATATTTTAGGCTTTCTGGGCCACATACAGCCTGTCATATATTCTTCTTTTTTTAATGACCTTTAAATATGTAAAGACCATTCTTAGCTGGCAAGCCATAAAAATATAGGCCTGCAGGCAGCAGTTGGCCCACTCCTGCTCTAGAACACCCCCATGCCCTCTTTCGTGCCCTCAGCCTCAGCCTCCTCCCACTGAAGGACTCTGGATTCCCTCTGAGCCACTCTGAGCTGGTATCTCTCCCGTCCAGGCTTTGCAGAGGGAGCTGGGCAGGCAGCGTTGCCCCAGGGATCTGAGTGCTGAGCCCTCCTGCTGAGCCCCAGGTATCCTCCTCCGCCATGTGAGTGGTCTGGTTACATTTTAAACAAATATCGGATATTAGTCTGAGCCCTGCTCATGTGTCCTGGGGGCGAATTAGCCTTGGTGTTCCCAGTGAGGTAGGTGCATGCGATCAGCCTCATCCACGCTTGCAGATGCTGAAGCTCCAGAGCAGAACGCACCCTCCTAGCGCTGCCCAACAACCACATGTCAGAATTTAAAGGAAAGCCCCCAAGTCTTGGCTTTACGTTTTCTAAGAACACGATCAGGGATTGTTCTGTCCCACCTAAGCCCAGTGACTCAACCCCAAAGAGAGCAAGAATCCATGAGAGAACACTGTCAGCCACATAGAGTTGCTTTCCAGACCTCAATGACACTCTGAAAACAGAACGAACTCAAGCACTCGAAGCCACAGGGCTAGGTGGAGCGGCCCTCTCTGCCCTGCCGACAAGTCTCTTCAAACTAAAAATAAAGTTTATAAAAGTAAATTATCTCATTTTATAACTTAAGTGCATCAAGCATTTCCTTAAATATAGTTCACACTGAAAATAAAGTTACTTTTGCTGTACAGTGGTGTCTGTTATAATTAGGAATAAACTTTGATGATAAAGTATGAAAGGTTACACACTCACACACGCACGTCTATCTGTCTGTCTGTCTGTCTATGGTGTATAGATGGAAAGACATATGCACCTCTTGAACAAAAGCTTCCCCAAAACGGTGGGAAGTTGTTAGGAGTCCCTAGGTATCTAGTTTGCATGAGAATGTCTAGATTAAAAGTCCCTGTCCTTAATGATAAACACATCTTCACATCTAACGCTAAGACTCTTATTAGAAACATTAAACTATGCAATCCATAATGTATTCAGTCTTTGGAAATGCCGAGCTACACCTTATCGTTATACAACAGCATCCCCAACAAAAGTCCCTCCCCAGCCCGCCTCTTCCCTGGCCTCCCCGTCCTAAAGCCAGCGACCCCTCACATAATGCGGTTGTTCTGTATGGGAGCCTTGCCACAGGACACTAGGGGAAGACTCAAGAGGTGAAGTACGAATTCTGCATGGAGTACAGGTGGTCAATGGGGTTTCCCACTCTGGACTGCAGGGGCCCGGCTTCTGAGGTTGCTAGGAAACAGTCACCCAGGTTACTGAGGGAGGTGTCGTCGCTATCCAGGTCATGGAAAAGAGGCTCTGCACCTGAAATGGAGAAGAAACACCCGCATGAAGGTCTGGAAGAAGAGACTGATTTCAGCCTGAGAAAATTCAGCTGAATTCAGTGAGTGTTGCCTGAGCACCCCTCCCCCTACCCGTGCAACTTTCTCCTGGGTGCTGGGAAAAGAGCAGGGGTGGGGTTGAACTGCATAGAAAAGCAGGAGGGGGCATAGTCCCTGCCCACAAAACGTCTATATTCTCTGTAGGGGTCTCACGTCCAAAGTGCAACAAGTTAACACAATATAAACTAGGATATGACAAAGTGCTAAATTGAGTGCAGCATAAGCAAATGTCAGAGTGTCTAGACAGGGAGTGTGAGGAGCAGGCAGGACATGTCGCCAGAGGCTGGAGGGACAGAGGCAGGGCTCCTACGGGACTTGGGCCTCAAAACTGGTGCTTGAAGGAGGGAAAGTAAAAAAACAAACATCGCCTCTTGGAGTGAGGCTGATGAAACCTCCCATGGTAACATTTGTCTTTTCCAACAGCAAGCAGACACTCAGGGTATGCTGTTCCCCAAATCTGTACTGCAAAGAAAAGGAGGGTTAGGAGTCGACCCTCAACTGATTTACAGGCTTGACAGAGACGCCAGCAGGGCACGCTGTGGAGCAGCTGAGGGACTGCCGTAACCAGTACGCCTTGTCCCCCACCGCAAGTCAAAGCTGGGAGAGGTGAAAACTAGAGTTTATGTCATGGGGCTTTAACTATTCGTTTCACTAAAGGATTCATCACAGGCATCCTTTATGTAACAAGACCCCTGAGACTCTGAACATTTAAGAATCTGCAAAACATTCATTTGCTCTGTTTTCCCATAGCTGTGGAGGAAAGAGTGATACAGATGTGACCTGTGTTTTCTAAGGAAGCCAAAGGGTGGATGTCACCTGAACGTGCGCATACATACCTACAAAAGTATCAGTGAACGAGGCTGGCCAATGAAGGGCATGCAGAGGGCCAGATCTTAATAAATGCTTGCTGAATGTGTGACATGGGAAGGGAGGGGTGATTTTAACAACCAAATTTTTTTAATGAAGACAAAAAAGAAGTTGTTTAACAAAATCTGTGAGCTCAGGCATATGCCTCTGATACTAATGTTTTGAAGGCTTGCTGAATAAAACTTTATTTTTTAACTATCAGGATCATTTGTCACAGATTACACATAGATCAATGCATTACAAACACCATTGGCCTTCTCTGTGTAAAAACGGAGTAGCCTACATTTGGCCCTGAGGGTGAACTTGAGCATTCACTCCAGAGTTCACCCCACCCCACCAGGATCTCCCGGCCCCCGGCTTGTCCACTAGCTTAAGCAGCAAGCTGGGTGAGTGGGGAGGCTCAGCTACCCACACTCAGCATCCAAATCAACCCCAGTTTGGGTGAGATGAGGATAAGGGAGATACTACAATCAGTTTATGTTTCATGAATTAAATTAGAGCACCTACTAGTATCCATAATAGGATAATCCAATTAGAAAATTTGTTTTCTGTGCTTCTTATGTATTTTCTTTCTTTACGTAAATGTTTGCTTAATTAAGGCCTTCTGCCTGTATCAGCACTGATATTGCTTGCAAATACGTCAGTGTGGTATCTGGCATGAAACTCAAGACTGTGGAATCCAGTCACAACAAACAGGTCCACAATGAAAGCACAATATTCTATGTAAAAGTAAGAAACAAGAAGCTTTGAAAAGAAGAATAAATGGAAGCATCACTAACGAATATGCCATGTGGCTCTTTCTTCCGCAGTCATTGGCTAGGGCCGCTAGGTGATTCAGGTGGTATTTTGTGGGCACTTATTCTGCTTTGGAGCGTCAGTGAGCATCTAGGAACTGCGTAGGTGTGCTTGGGAGGGAATGAGAAACACACGCAATTCGTGAGAGGGCCTGTGGGGCTCGAGTCCCTCTTACCATAGGGGTGCATGTGGTCTCCAGGCATCTGGGGTGGGGTGAGACCCTGTCGGAAGGGATCCGAGCTGTAGACACTCTGCTCGATGGCCAGGAGCTGCTGCGGGGTGGGCAGGGCCGTGTAGGGGTTCATGATCCCTTCCATCCCAGCACTCCCGCCGCCATTCGTCTGAGCTGTGGGACAGGGAGGAAGGCAGGTCATTCTCAACGTACAGCCCAGCACGTTACTCCCCTGGGTCCTGGTTTCCTCACTTACGAAATGGAACGGGATGAGGGGACATCAGTGGGTGCCAGCCTGTGCCCACCAAAGGCCGTAGGGATCACCTTGGAGGAAAGGATGGGTGGGGGCTGGGCAGCTGAACTCTGAGAACATCTTTGAAATATATCATTTAAACAAAGGGCTGTGACACTGTACCCAGGTCTGGCAGCCCCTGGGGTGGATAAATCTAAAGACCCTTCCTGCAATAACCCACTATGAGCCTACCAGGCAAGTGGAAATCATGACGCCGGCCCCACTGACCTCAACAGCTGATCTGAAGATTCCATAAGATTGTGTGTATGCGCTTTGGAACTACACCTTGCTACACTCATGCACAGAACTTTATGAGAAAAGGAGGACTCAGTTGTTGCCTCCGCATCTTTCTCTGGTTCTCTAAACATGGGGAGAATAGAGACTCTATCTCCCACCAGCTTCTGCTTTCTTAAGTCTACCTTAGGAGCTGCCCTTAGAGTTCTTCAAACAAAGTCCCAAGCACTGTGAGTTTGTGTTCTCAAACCCTAAGATTACAGGTAATTTACGTGCACATTAAACTGTGAGAAGCCCTGCTCTGTGGTACAGATCGTCCGAGGAATTCTCCTGGATGGCCGAGTTTGGGGGCATGTGTTTTTAAGAATGGCGTTGTTCCTGGTTTTTTTTTTTCTTTTAACTTCCTTAAAGACTCCCAGAACCTGTCCTTCTTCACCCCCTTCCCGACCTTCACACTACCTTTATTTATTTATTTATTTTTTTTATAAAAGGGTACACATGGGTAGAGGTGTGTTAGGGAGCACAGCCTAGTGGAACGCAGAGTTGGAGTTCTAGTCCCGACTCCAACCCTTACTGATACAGGAATGTATTCGATCTTGCAGAGCCTTTGTTTGTCCATCTGTGAAGTGGGCATAATAATAACTTCTCCACTCGCCTCAGAGGTGGGTACTGTAAGAGTCAAGTCAGTATGTGTGATAGCACTGTGCGAGCTATAAACGTGCTCTTCAAAGTAGGGGATTATGATTTTACTATCATTATTTTTGCTATTTTATGTTAATTTGGAAAGGGATAAGTCATAGCACAGTGTCTTTTTTTTTTTTAATTCTTTTTAGAGACAGAGTCTCACTCTGTGTTGGAGTGCAGTGGTGTGATCATAGCTCACTGCAGCCTTGAACTTCTAGACTCAAAAGATCCTCTTGTCTAACCTCCCGAGTAGCTAGGACTACAGAGGCACACCACCACACCTAATTTTTTATTTTCTGTAGAGATGGGGTCCTGCTTTGTTGCCCAGGCTGGTTTTCAACTCCCAGCCTCAAGCAATCCTCCCATCTTGGCCTCCCAAAGTGCTAGGATTATAGGTGTGAGCCACTGTGCCCTGCCAAGTGGCGTCTTCTATTAAACTGATTACCCTTGAAGGAGGACTGAGCAAGGTGAGAAATTAAACATGTCTATGACCACACATAGTCCTGACACATTCCCCTGACACTGTGGTGGGATCCAGGCACGGGGACGCCTCCAATCAGCAGTTCTAGGCCTGCAGCCCAGGCGCCCCCAACCCTCTCACGAGTTCCTCATGGCTCAGTCCTCACTCGAAGGCCTTTTCTCTCCGATGGGTGTGAACTGGGCTTCCAGACAGGCCATTCAACGAGCTGGGTGGTGGGAGACCTCTGGCAGGAGTGGCCTGGACTCCAGCAGGGACCAGCCGGGAGGAGGAGACAGCTTACCAGAACTCAGCCTCTGCGTGTTCTGTTGATCTTGCTGCTGTTGCTGCTGCCGCCTGGCCAACTTCTTCATCTGAGGAGGAGAGGACCATAGGATTAGAAGTCAGATGGCCTGTGGCAGGTGCACGTGGTAAGGGGGAAGCTGGAAGTGACATCATCTTCTCCATGAGAGGGCTTGTTTGTAAAGCAGAGGGACCATTTCCCTGGCTTTTACTCAGTAAGGGAGCCGCATTTGAGCGGTTCAAGTTTGCAGCATCTCAGCCGACGGCTCCGCTACTGTGGTGGTGCAGCTTATCTTAGCAGGAACAGGGATTTCCTTCCCCCAGTAAATAAAACTTGCTGCTTGGGCTGTGACAATTTTACGTGAGGGAATAAGTGTGACTGTGGGGTCTGCAGCCCAGACATACGGAGCAAGGGGCTGCCAATAGGGTGTGATTTAGGATAAGCCAGGAGGCTGTTCCCTTCCCCTCTCCTGTCTGCCAGCCCTTGTGTTTGACATGAGCCTACCGGGAGGTTCATGCCTCTGGGTAAGGAGCTTGTCTCCCAAAGCACCCTGTTAACTCACAAACTTCCTTGAAGGAACCTTTTAACCCAATGTTTCTCAAACTGTGTTCTGTGGAACACTAGGGTTCCATGAGATGTTAACATGTATTTTGAGTGTATGTGTGTGGAGGAAACACCAGATTTTTTTCTTAAATTTCTTTACTGCGAGATTTCTCAGAGCTATAAATGTGCTCCTCTGCTGTGTGAATCCATGAGCTATGGGGCTTCTCAAACTTCATATACCATGAAGTCTTTTTCTGATGGAATAACACATCAATAGCCCTATTCTGAGGAATTCAGTTAGGAAAATGCTATCTTAGCCAATCACGATCAAATAATGAGATAGTAATTTATCACCTGTGCTATTCTAAAATATATATTTGGTCTTTAACCCTGTTTCCTGGCATACAACTTCTAAAATTTTTGGAATCCCCAAAGTGATATCTTCTTGAATGCTAATGATTGACTGATGGCTGGCAGCCCCTAGATAGCTTAAGGAGGGGGGCTGGTCACCTGAAAGACCAAGGCGGGATTAGAGGGTTGGAACTTTCAGCCCCATCCCCCAACCTCCAGGGGAGAGAGGCTGAAGGTTAAGTTGATCACGAATGGCCAATGGTTTAATTAATCATGCCTATATAATGAATCCTCCATAAAAACCCAAAAGGACGGGGTTCAGAGAGCTTCCCGATAGCTGAACACATGGAAGTTCCTGGAGAGTGGTTCACCTGGGGAGGGCATGAAAGCTCTGCACCCCTCCCCCCACTTCTCACTCTATGCATCTCTTCATCTGTATCCTTTGTAATGTCCTTTATAATAACCCAGCAAGTGTAAGTAAGTGTTTCCTGCGTTCTCTGAGCAGCTCTATCAAATTAATGGAACCCTAGGAGAGGCTTGTGGGATCCTGATTTATAGCCAGTTGATGAGAAGCACAAGCCACAACCTGGATCTTGCGAATGCCAATTGGGGTTGGGGGGCACAGTCTTGGGGACTGAGCCCTCAACCAATGGCATCTGATGTTAACTCCAGGTAGATGGTGTCAGAATTGAACTGAGTTGGAGGAAAGCCAGCTGGTGTCCAAGGCAAAACTGACTGCTTGCTTGGTGTGTGGGGAAAGACCCCCCCATTTGGTCACAGAAGTGTTTTGTGTTGATTGTTGTGGTATGAAAGCAGAGGAAAAATAGTATTTGTTTTTCCTCACATCATCCACTAAAGATCAGGGCCCTAGAGAAACAGGCCATAGGCCACATGTATTTTTAGAGGTAGGAAGAACAATGAGTAAAAATTCTAAAACAAAGACTGTGATGCAGGAATACAGCCCATAGTAGGGGCCAGAGGGCGGTATGACAGTGGGCCTAGGTCGGAGAGGGCTGGCCTGGGAGAGATGAGTGAAGGCATTCACTCCACCATGTCACAATGTTGTCTTAGATCAGTCCTATGTGTGCTACTTGGGTTTCTTTTTGAAATTTTTAAAAAAGTTGATATCTGGATTAAATAAATGTGAATTACAGAACACGCTTTAACTAAAAGACACAGAAAGACATTTATTCATACAGATGGCTGGCCAGATTCACGGTCAAGGCCACTAGGAAAAAAAAGCCATTTCACTAAAACAAATGCCTGGTCTCTCCCCTTCTGGAGGTCTGCTGTGGCTGAAATGATTGTTGATAACAGAATTTTTGAATCGAGAGAACTATTCTATCCAAAGAGTTCAGGTTAGAAAACCTGGCAACGAGTACAATTTCCTGCTGCAATGTCCCTAGCAATGAAGGGACAGACAAAAAAGTAATAAGCAGGTTACCTTAGCTCTCTGGTTCTGGAACCACACCTGGACGACGCGGACGCTCAGCCCTGTCTCTGCAGCCAGAGTCTCCCTCACCTTGAAAAAATTGAACATTAGAAATGTGGAAACATTGCCATCTTAGGGTAGGAGGCAGAACATTTTCTGTATAGTGCATGGGGAGGCCAACAGACTGTGTCTTATGTAGGAGCTGGCTAGCGTTTAATGTCCAGCATAAACTCAAACACAAGAATGTGCTTCCCTTCCAGTACAGAGTCTTTCACCAGGTAAACGAAAAAAAGAAACGGTCATTAATTTAGATGCTCATTACCAAAAGGTATTTCTAGATTTTTCTTACTCTGAAAATTAGGCTTTCAAGTGGTTCTTAGACATTAGGGAAGTCTATTGCTATGCTTTAGCTATAGGCCATGCATAAACATTAACCTACTTAAGGAGAAATGAGAATGAAAATGATGTTGCAAAAACAAATGGTTCTCTCTTGCTCTCTTCTCTTGCCTAACTTCATTGACCTGTATTTTTGCTTCTGTCTCTAGGTGACTTTGGGTATTTCAGAAATATTCATATTCACTGTTATCCTGAGTAAGCCCTGCCCAAGGAGAATAAGATGAGAGCAATCGGGAATGCGGCAGAGGCAGGTAGTCAGCTCTGATGCAGGCACATGTACTGGGGCGGGCAGAGGCAGGACAAGTGAGATCCAGCTAATAAACAGATGTGCTTAAACATCTGCCCACCATACAGGCACCTAGTGAGGGGCCAGCAAGGTGTCAAGAAGAGAGAGGGCAAGAAGCACAGATTTTCAGAGTGGGCCTAAAAGACACTGCCCCCTTTTGATTGGATTCTGGGGAGAAGATGGGATGGAAAGAGCGCCTTGAATAAACACATGAGTAGAGCAAACTGGAGGCCTTGGGAAATATGTCACCTCTATCATGACACTTGGGCTGAGGCTTAGGAGAAGCAGGATGATTAGAGCAGGTTTTTAAAGCACATCCTTCTGCTAAGCCAACGAAAACAGGAGTGCACACAGGGGCCCGCCTTCACCTGCTGAAACCCTATCCGTTCCTCAGAGGCCCAGCTCAAAAGCCACCTGTTCCACAAAGCCTTGCCTGATTCTCTAGACCAAAGTGACCTTTCCTTTCTCTGTGGCTCCCAGCTGCCCCTCTGCTGTGGTCCTCAGAGCTCTCTCTGGTGTTACAGTAAACGTATGCATGCGTCTCCTCCATGCTGGTGGCCTGGAAGCTACCTGGAGACGAGCACCCAGCACAAGCCCATGCAGGGGCTGGGAGTTCAGAACACATAGAACAAGTAAGCAAATGAGGAAGGTTATACTTTGTCCTGCAGCAAGCTGGCCTTGGAGTATTTCACTTTCTACCAGGACCTCCCTTGGAGCATAGAGAGCTGCAAGGATAGGGAAGGAAAGAGTTTGCAGTTAAATCTTTTCAAAGGTCAGAAGTTGTGGTAGACTGTACTATTGTTCAACAAGTATCTATCCTTCCCTCCTCTGCCCCACGGAGGGTGTATGCTTCACCACTGCACCCATGTTGGGCTAAGCCCATGCCTTGCTCTGGCCCATGGACTGTGATGTGTGTGATATCCAGCAAAGGTTTCCAATGGGCTTCGTGTTTTGGCCTGGCCTCTTGCCTTCTGCCATCCTCAGGAGAACAGCATGCATCAGGAGGAAGCTGCTCTTTCAGCCTGGACCTTCGAAAGAGAGGCAGGTGGAGCAGGCCTGAACCTGAACCCTGCTGGGCCACAGCCAATGCACAGCCCCAGAGAAGGAAGTAAATGTTTTTTGGGAGCCACTAAGACTTTGGGTTGTTTTTTAATCACAGCTAAAGCTGACTAATACAAATAGGGATGCAGGCGATGCTAAAAAACTTTTACAATGTATTTCCTTTATAAATTTCAATAAAGAATATTCTTTCTTTTCTTTTTATTGTGTAAAAGGTAGTACCCAGCATATGGTAGGCAGTCAATAAATGGCAAGTACTCAATAAATGGACACGGCTATTTGTGGCAGAGACGGCTAATTATCCCCAATATCTATTCTCTCCTTCCTCCAATCAGCAATCAAATCCCTAAGGATTAGCAGGGCATGTGGTCATCCAGATAGACTCATTTCCCAGCTTCCCTTGCAGGGAGTATGTCTACAGGATCAAATTTTGGCCAACACATATGAGTGGAAGTGATCTGAGCAACCCCTGGTTATATACTTAAAAAGGCAGCTGCCCTCCACTTCCTCTCTTTACACCCTGGAGGCTGGGAACATGGTGACAACTGGAGCAGCCCTTTGGACCCAGGTGAGGGATAACAGAGCCACCCCACCAGTCTTGGCTTGCTCACTTCCAGACTATGACATAAGAGAAGAATAAACTCCCATCTCATTGAGCCACTGTATTTTTTTTTACACAAGTGTTTGCAGCAGCACTATTTTTAACAGCCCCAAATGGATACAACCCAAATGCCCATCAATAGGTGAATGGAGAAGCCAACCATGGCATGTCCATACAGCACAATACCATTCAACAACAAAAAGGAATGAACCGCAACTTGGATGAATCCCAAAATCGCTCCACCAAGTAGAACAAGCCAGACCAAAAAGAGAGTACATACTGCAAGCCGCTGTACTTTTATACTCTTTGTTACAGCGTCTTGGTCTACAGCATGACTGGTACTTATTATTATTATTATTATTATTATTATTATTATTATTTCCACTGCTCTCCAGGAAATGAAAGGTGCGAGCTGGGGCCATTTGGAGTCGGGATTCATGCATGAAAAGCATGAGGAGACTCCAGTACATCCCTGGCCGTAGATTAATGATCCCTACAGTTTCAAACAGGGCTCAAGGCCACCTGCACAGGTTCCATCGGAGCAGCCTTCCTTACTGCTCTGACCCCCACGTGCCCACTGAGATCCCAGAGAAGTGGGCCCAGTTCTCCTTCCTCCCCTTTTCCCTCCTGTACCTTCCTGCAGGGCTTGGAAGATACTTCAAATGAGGCCTTGAAAGCTCTCCTCTGCTGGGTTGTCAAGATGGTCCTAGGACGTTTGGGGCGTTTATGGTCCTTGCCGTCCTCAGTAGCTGCTTTCCCTGCCCCGTGGGCTGACTTGCAAAGACTTTCTTCATCGTCACTTTTACCTAGAAGGAGCAAAAAGCAATTCTGTGAGTCCCCAAAATCCATTTCCTAGAGCGATATTTTATTCCGTAACAAGGCCCTTGTGTCCACATTCCCAGGATGACTCTATGTATGAGAGCAACAACCTACGTGGCATTGATTTGGAAGCTTCCAGGAAGGTGCTTAGAATAAGCTTCTAAAACCCAAAGGCAGGAACCAGAACATCCACATTACGCCTCAGGGCTTCATCACAGTACGACATCCCGGCTCCGCATTTACCAGCTGTGTGGCCTTGCAAAAGTTACTTAACTCTCTGTCTCAATTTACTCATCTGCAAAACAGTGATATAGGAGAACCCACTCCACTGGGGTTGTTGTGAGGACTGAACGAGTTTATACCAATAAGACATTCAGAGTGCTGAGTGGCATATAGTAAGTGCTCAGTAAGTATTGGTTATTAATATTATTTCTTAGATTATCATTTTTTAAGACTAGACCTGGAGAAGTTACTTATAACTTCCTCGATACTATGTCTGAAATTCTGGCCACTGCCAGGTGGTAGAAAATACTACTGTTTGAAAGGCCACAGAGAACCAGCATTAGAGTACCTACAGGTACAGACAACTGAGTATGGACAGATAACTCTAATAATTAGTCAAAATTTCTTATCTATAAAATAAATAATTATCTATTAAAGTAACTACAATTATGTGAATTACTTCAACTCTACAAGCAGTGAGCAGTGCCAGGGGTGACTTTTAAAGGAAATAAAGCCTCTGGTGGGCATCACATTCTTTTCCAGGGTCTGGAAAATACCCTAGTGAGAGAGACTTCTTTTTCCCTTTGGCATTAAAAGCCATAGGTAGTTGTATGCCCGAGTGATCCTAAGAAGAACCTCATTGATTTCTGGGTCCTCATAGAGCTCAGCTGTCCTCCTTCCTCCAGTGAAAACCTTTGCCCAAGGGCTTTCCCCGTGCCAGCCCCTCCTGGCCGCTCTGAGAAAGCCAAGATGAGGGACCCACTGTGTGTGAGCTACACATCCTTTTCCTTCACTCCCGCCTCCTCTCTAAAGGATGCTCTTTGGCATATGCTGTTTTAGTTTAGATGTTAGCTGAGTTCTAATTTTTGGCTCTACCAGAGCCCAAAAGCTTATTCTACCTGAAAGGACAATGGCTTCTTCTTTCTATGAACATTAAACATACAAGCTTGAACATTAAGGGAACACCACATTGTGAGTTCTTGAGGACATGACGCTTTTAATATAATTGAAAAGGGACTGAGGTCGGCAGACCTAGGTTTCCATCCCAGTTCTGCCCCCTCGTTATAAGTACAGCACCATGTGAGTCACGTCACGTCACTGACCCTCGGTTTCCTCACCTGCATGAAGAAGACGGGAACACCCAGCCCGTGGGTGTCACAGAAGTAATGCTGTTACATGCAAAAACAGCTAACACGGTCCTGGCACACGGGTGGCTTGCAATCGAGGTTAAGAAAAGGATGTCTTTTCCCTCTGCCTCATCCTTCTCAATAGTACAAATAAAAAAACTCCAAAGAATACAGAAGAGAGTTAAACAAGAGTCCTCATGATGAGGCGTGGCTACTCTGGCATCTTACTCCGAGGTCGCTCTTTTCCAGGGGTAATGCGGTAAGAGGATCTTGGTCTCACCTGGGTATCAGGGGTTGTAAAATCTTTCTAGAAGGAGATTTTCAGAATGGCCAGGAGAAAACAAGCACTGAAGAACTAAAAGCCTCAGGAAAATAAGAAGATCCCACAAGAGGATAAAAGGTAGAAAAAAGAAAGCCATAGCTGGGCCCACTCATCCCACTGCTGGGAGACTCCCCCAATCCCGGTGTGAGGCCGAGAATTCTCAAGAAGGTGGACTCCCCAGAGTGAAAAGGATGTTCCTTTTCACTCTGTGAAAAGGCTGGCCCTAGTGATGCCTTCAGTGACATTTCTGAGGAAATGGGGCTAACATCCCACCCCGAGGATCATGCAGATCTCCGGCGAGGCAGGCAATGCAAAGGAACTGGGTCTGCAGGCCAGGCCTGCGAGTGAGGGCCGACCAATGCTCGGTGTAGAACACACTCACAATGGAAAACGTAAAGTGCAATTTTATCATCTGCTAAAACTTCGTGTCTTATACCAGTTTTGTCAATAAAATGGTACTTGCAAATGTCTCATGGAGTCGGTCTGATTCTTTTACAGTCATTCCTCCAATAGTTTGATGCAAATGTATAGGGGTAAGTGGGATAATGTAACTAATGAAAATGTAAAGTGTAAAATAGTGATCATGGTTCGGATGTGTTGACACTATCCAGGAAAGCAACGTGACATGGTACTTACAAGCGTGAGGTTTGGAGTCATATAAACTCAAGTTTAAATTCTGGCTCTAACAGTTATTATGTGTGATTTTGAACGCATTCTCAAAACGCAATTTTCTCATCAGGGAAAATAACAGTGTTATTGGAATTATTAAATGAGATGATGTATGCAAAGGGTTTAGCACCATCCAGAAGAGATTGGTGCTCAATAAATAACAATAATCATCATTAAAGATGATTTTTTGTCATCAACATAAAAGATGTATTCCTGGTCCTAGACACATGTTTTCAGTTAATAGCAATCTCCTATCAATGGGGGATCTGAGTTAAGGTTTAACACTACAAGTATTCATTTCTCTCTCTTGCAGAAATGACCCTGGCCAATATAGACAGCCAGTGGAATGTGAGCGTGTGAGTGCTTGTGAGAGGACAGAGAAAGAGAGGGAGCTAGGGCTTGTTCTAGAAGGAAGGTAGGATTTCTGCAGTTTGTTCAGAGCCCCAGAGGCAGGATGGCTGAGGGCCAACTGGGGTCCTCCCGCTGCTGTCACTGTACTCCGCCTTGCCTGGGACGCGTGTGCATCTCCAAAGAGCTGCTGTCCCATCATGAACGGATGGAGAAGGGGGTAGGAGAACCACCTCCTAGGCTAGCCATTGGTGCCTGTTTTTGGAGGACATAGAGAGCTGCTCATTCATTCTTTCCCCATCCTTGTAAGAAGAGAGAGGAAAGTGTATTTGTTTTTAGAAGGAGGAGGAGGAGAAGGAGGAGGAGATGGAAGGAAGAAGGGGAAAGAGAAAACAAAGAAGGAGAAAGAGAACGAGAAGCGGTAGCAGTAGTGGTTTGTTTGTGGAGTGTTTCTATCATTTTCATGGTGCATTTTCTCCCTCTGATTCCTCCTTTCTGCTGTTCAATATCTCACGCTCTCTTCTATCTCTTCAGGTCCCCCATTTTGCCTTCTAGAAAGCACTTCATGCTCTATACCAGCAGCCTACAAACTTGCTCTGTAAAATGCCAGGGTTAATAGTTCAGTCTCTGCAGGCCTTACGGTCTGCAGCGCAACTACTCAACTCTGCCGTTGTAGCACAAAAGCAGCCGCAGACAATATGAATGGGCATGGCTGTGCTCCAGTAAAACTATATTTCAAAAACAGGCAGCACGCCAGGTTTGGCTGCATACCCTAGTTTGCTCACCCCTGCCCTAGACCTCTCCTGACCTTCTGTTCTCCATCAAAACTTACACATCCCAAGTGCCATTCTTTCCGGCCCTGACTGCAGGCAGGAAGCTCTGCTCATCCGACACACTGTGGAGTCAGTGGTTAGCACGGTTCGATGTGTTCTCTCCCACGGTCAATAACATATAAACATTTAATAAGAAATGCATCTACCCTGACAGTCACCAACGTGGAATTTCGGGTGTGCTGGCTCATCCGAGCGAGAGAGATTCTGAAGATAGAGGGATGGGGGAGCCTCTTGGCACCTCTCAAAGTACAGACAGGTGCCACCAGCCAGCTGCCACCAGGCACGCGGACCATCACTGACCGTCACCCAGCTTCCGTCCACTGTGTCGTCAACATCATGGGCATAACGACTCTCTTGGGGAATTTCCAAGCTGTTCCTGGAATGTTCACTGAGGCTCCCGTCGTTCGGCAGGGGCAGACCTGCCTGACTCGGGTCCCGACTTCTGCATGAAAATATGCAGTGCCTGAGATACGCACTTATCAACTTGCCCAAGAGAAAGGAACATTCTAAAAGAGCTGGGAGATTTCTCTCAGAATCAGCAGGAGAACTGGAGGGAAGAGGGAAAAAAAAACACCTTAAAACAGCAGAGATGTAGAGTGGAGGGAGAGGCGGCCCCTCTCTGCTGCAGAGACTCCCACACCCAGATGCAGGCCGGAGCGATTCCTCATAATTTAAGCTGACACCCCTCAGCGGAGATGAAAGGAACTCCACTCACCGCTCTCTGACAACAAATGTCAGCATCCCTGGAGGCCATTTAGGCACAAACGCAGCATAAATCTGACTCCTAGTGGGGAAGTCCAGAGATCAAGTCTCCACGCACAGCCTACCAGAGACAAATGAATTTGCTTGGCGCAAAGTTTGGACATGTTTCTTAGGGCTTTTTTTTCCCCTTTTTTGTAAAAAAAAAAAATCTGGAATGGTTCAGGGCTGTTGCTCTCCCTTTGCTGTTCCTCCCACTCGTTTATGACATAAGCAATCGCAGATGAAAGACCCAGCTGTGGTTTATGGCTTGGAGACGGAGCGGCACTACCTGTGGGGCCTGGGAGATTCATCTCAGGTTGTTGGAAAAATCCCAACAACCCATAAACAGGGCAAGAGATATCTGAGCTTGGCCCAGGAGGCGAGGGTGAGGGAGGGGGACGAGAGTCCCTCATGCTAGGGAAGGGAGAGGCAGGAATGGGCCTCAGATGCTTCCCCAGTGACGAGCCTCATAAACGTCTTTCAGATTCGGAGAGGAGAGGAAGGGTCTGGGATTTGTTGTGGGTGGAGGGAGGAGGGAAAGATATAAGGGAGGAATTTGTGAAGACAGGATGTATAGGAAGCTGTTTCAGCCACTGCCCTGCACTACAGGACTGGAATTCCTTCTCCCTGAGAACAGCAGTGGTCATCTCTGGATGCAGCCAACTCAAAGCAGGATTGAAAATCCGAGAGGCAGTGAGTGCAGTTCTTGAGAAAAGCAAAGTCCA